ACAAGGGCAGTATGTCCTTGTTGGTCCTCCTCGATATCTCGGTGGCCTTTGATACCGTCAACCACGGTATCCTCCTGGGGCGGCTCTTCAAGTTGGGAACGGGTCGCCTCACTTTGGCGTGGCTCCGTTCCTTCTTGGAGAACTGTCCCCAGAGAGTGCAGCTTGGCAAGATGACTTCCACCCCATTTACCTCACTGTCAGCACCACATAGCCAAATCAAATTGATTCCAAGGCTCTGTGGCACTCATGTGTTTAGTACATGATCCATTCAACCAGCACTCTGTTACACTACCAAAGAAATAGTGCTTTGTGTCTGGTGGTTGCTTTCCCATTGCCCAGAATGATAAATTACAGTAATTACTGTAACTGTCAAGGAGCCCATAAAAGAAACAGCAGTTAAGCTATTTCCCAATCACATACTTTCAATCTGCAAGCTTCCTTTAGGTAAAGGTAAAGGTTCCCCTTGACATCTAGTCCAGTCGTTTCCGACTCTAGGGCACAGTGCTCAAGGTTCGCAGCTTGGGACCCGGATCTCACCATGGAAACCCAGGTAGCATCTGTGGTCTGGGCAGCCCATTTCCATCTTCGGAGGATTGCCCAGCTGTGTCACTATCTAGATGCGGGGGGACTCACTGTGCTGATTCATGCCCTCGTAATCTCAAGAATAGGCTGCAGCAATGCTCTCTACATGGGGCTTCCCTTGAGGTTGATGCAGAGACTTCAACTGGTCCAGAATTTGGTGGCCAGATTAATAGCCGGGGTGAAGAAATTCCAGCACATCTCCCCCACTCTGGGGGAGCCTTTCATTGGCTATCAGTTTGTTTCTGCATCGACTTCAAGGTTATGATGATAACATTCAAAGCCCTAAACGGTTTAGGACCTTAGTACCTATCAGAAAGCCTGCTCCCAGCCAGATGTCTGTAATACCTGCCCTTCATAGGCAGGGTAGTTAAGGGCCTTGACCCCGAAGGAGGCCTGGAGGGGAAGAACAAGAAACCGGGTCTTCTCAGTGGTCGCCCCCCTCCCGCCTGTGGAACAACCTGCCTACTGAGATTCTCCTGGCACCCTCGCTGGAAGGGTTCAAAAGAGAATCGAAGACCTGGCTCTTCCGCCAGGTTTTCCCAGAGCATTAAGAACTTGGCCTCCCTTTTAACATCGTTTTTGCCATCCTCTCCATCAACCTTTTTACCACCTTCATTGCCATCTGTTTAAATTTACCCTGTTTGGTTATGTATTAATTTGTTTTTTATCATGTTTTAATATTGTTGCTGATATTGTTTTTGGCCGCCCAGAGTGGTCTGGTTACCAGACGGTGCTGGGTATAAATTCAATAAATAAATAATAAAATAAATAAATGGTCTCTGGCACCCTTTAGTAGCCAGTTCCGGTAATAACATTGTGGAAACATATATTTCTATAGCAAACCTTATATGTAGCATAGTAGTTCCAGAGCTCAAGCACAGCCATTGAAAAGGCTCTCTCTCAGATCCCTGCCAGATGGGCCCCTGGGGGTGCTATACAAACTTGCCTGGACTTGCAAATTTTAAAGCCCAGGCAAGTTTGTATAAGAAGACGTGGTCTGAGCTGGGACCTGTAAAATCAGGTCCCAAAGAGCTAGCTATATTTGTGGAAAGCTCTTATTGAACCTACCTATCCAACAGAAACATCCCACTTAGGCTGGTTCATCCACTGTGCTATAAGACAGTGTTATTGCTGAATGTGCATTTGAGTAACATGCACATGAACGTACAATCATTTTGGACTATAGCAGCTGGAACAGGATGTCCAGTTAGGACAACATTTACCTCACTGTCAGCACCACATAGCCAAATCAAATTGACTCCAAGGCTCTGTGGCACTCATGTGTTTAGTACATGATCCATTCAACCAGCACTCTGTTACACTACCAAAGAAATAGTGCTTTGTGTCTGGTGGTTGCTTTCCCATTGCCCAGAATGATAAATTACAGTAATTACTGTAACTGTCAAGGAGCCCATAAAAGAAACAGCAGTTAAGCTATTTCCCAATCACATACTTTCAATCTGCAAGCTTCCTTTAGGTAAAGGTAAAGGTTCCCCTTGACATTTAGTCCAGTCGTTTCCGACTCTAGGGCACAGTGCTCATCCCCGTTTCCAAGCCATAGAGCCAGCGTTTGTCTGAAGACAGTTTCTGTAGTCACGTGGCCAGTGCGACTAGATACGGAAAGCCGTTACCTTCCCACCGAGGTGGTACCTATTTATCTACTCACATTTTTACATGCTTTCGAACTGCTAAGTTGGAAGGTGCTGGGACAAGCGACGAGGCTTCCGAGGTTTAACCCACAGCACCACCACGTCCCTTAAGCATCCTTTACTTTGTTCCTTTTCCCTGTGTTAGAGACTCTTACATGCACATTTTTTCAAAGGATTCATAGACTAAAACAAGCTTAGGCTTTATTCTTTAAACATCTTTCGACCCATGACGTTCAGCTGCTACAGTTAGAGCAGTATCAGTCCCCAATGTCCACTTATCTCTGCTCATGAAAAATAAAGCAAATCTCACAGAACCAGTACATAAGGACATGAAGCTTACAGGTTTGCAGAGAACAACTTGTATGATGGTGCTTTACAGATACAAAGTTACTTGAAAAAACACAACTGGAATTTGCTTTCCATAAACTTTTTTCAAAAGCAAGGAATCTGGCTTATGTTCTTTTTCCCTCTGATTCAAACAGCTGCTCTTAGACAGTAGAACACAGATTTGTATTCTCAAAGGCTTTCAGGGCTGGGATCCAATGGTTGTAGGTTTTTCAGGCTGTTTGACCATGTTCTGGAGGTTTTCTTCCTAATGTTTCGCCAGTCTCTGTGGCCAGCATCTTCAGAGGACAGGAGTTAGAACTCTGTATTCCGTCTACTCAACCATCTCACACACTACACCAGAACACAGACAGAGTTCTAACTCCTGTCCTCTGAAGATGCCGGCCACAGAGACTGGTGAACCCTTAAGAAGAAAAACGTCCAGAAGATGGCCAAACAACCTGAAAAACCTACAACAACCATCAAAACACAGATTACCGCATTTGCCGGCGTATAAGACGACTTTTTGGCCCCCAAAAAACATGTCTCCAAATGTGGGGGTCATCTTATATGCCGGGTTCACTTCAGTTGGGCCAGGAAGGAGTCGCCGCCATTGAGTGAGTGACACGGGGCCACGCCGATCGGCGAGAAAGGCAGGCGGGCAGGCAGGTGGTCCGTCCAGACGGAGGGAGGGAAGCAGAGCCGGCCACGCCTGAGAGGCCAGAGCCCGCTGCTGGACAGCCGCTTCCCCTCCTCGCCGCTGAGCCAGCTGCCCGCTCACCCGCCCGCCGCCAGATAGCCGCTTCCTCCGCCCGGCCAGCCGCTTCCCCTCCTCGCCGCTGAGCCAGCTGCCCGTTTGCCTGGCTGCTTCCCCTTCTCCTCGCCCTCCTCACTGCTGAGCCCGCTGCCCGCTCCCCACCTGCCACTGGATAGCCGCTTGCCCTCCTCCTCCGCCGCCGCCCACTTACCCTCCTCCTTCCCCTCCTTGCCGCTGAGCCAACTGCCTGCTTGCCCGCCGGCCGCCGGATAGCCGCTTCCCCTCCTCCTCCGCTGCTGCCACCCAGCCAGCTGCTTCCCCTCCTCCTCACTCTCCTCGCCGCTGAGCCAGCTGCCCACTCCCCACCCGCTGCCAGATAGCCGCTTCCCCTCCTCCTCCTCCGCCGCCACCCACTTCCCCTCCTCCTCGGGCCTCGTCGCCGGCCATGAACTTCCAGGCCAGGCCCGGGCAGCCACCGCCACCACAGCAGAGCCACCCACTCTATATTTTGAGTGGAAATGTTGGGGGGGGGGGTCGTCTTATACTCCCAGTTGTCTTATACGCCAGCAAATACGGTATCTGCTACTTACATGTGGATTGTGTGTTTTCCTATTTTACACCTAGAAATCCAGCAATACTATTTCCAAATAGAAAGAATCAGCTCCTTTATCCAGAAAGACTGGTCTCCAGCAGTAGCTACTGCTGAAGAAAAAGTCAGGGGATCTAGTTCTCAAACAGCATCTCAGAACTGACACATTTCACACTTCAGTCACAATTTACTGGCTTCCCCCCCTGAGGAACAAATACTGTTCAGACTATAATATGCCTTTAAATGTCTTTTTTTTTTAAAAAAAAAAATGCCAATATATGTTACCCTTGAGGGAAGCTTCTAGGCTTCTCTTGAGGGCAACATTTTAGACTGGCATTTAAAAACTCAACATTCAGGGAATAACACAATATGCCTAAAGCCAGCTGCTGTTGGCTCCAGCACCCCATGTAAGTATCAAAAAATTTATGATTCTAAATTATACAGGAAAGCCAACTGGGCCATCAACACCTCTGCCAGGAGAAACATGTATCGTTCCCCAAGGGTATCACGAAGATTAAGCCCACAGACACTTGCACACAGCTTTGAAAATGCAGTCCTAAGAATGTGCATTTCAAAATATACACTAAAATGTGTACACTTTGTGATTTAAGTCAGCTGGCAAAACATAATAAACAATCTTGGTTTAGGACAGTGATTCCCAACCTTGTGTAATCCAGGTGTTTGTGAACTGAAATTCCCAGAAGCTTTCACCACTAGCTGTGCTGGGCAGGATTTCCAAGAATGCCTGTGTTACCCATGGTTGGGAACCACTCGCAGAGAAGCAGTCATGTTAGATAGCAGCAGCAACAACAACAAACCAATGAAGTATCAATATTTTCAAGTTACAATATCTTTATAATAAATATCAAGTATCACAGAACTCCTACTGGTACACAGAATATCAAAAAAGATTTATGGGACTATAACTTCCAGAACCCCTGGGAAAATATAGAACAAGCTCTGTTGAAACATAATCCCAAACCACATTCTGTTGAGAAATCCAGTAATATAGCTTAATATAGAAATTTTAAATGAGCTTTGAGAAAAAAAAACTAACATATGAATAGACAATGCAAATATTTATGCTACAGAATCTCACCGTATGTTGACCAATGCATGAGTCACCTTGCTGGCTGGTTCTTTCCACTGGCCAGCATTAGTGGACAGCCTCAAAACTGAAAAAGAAGAGACCAAAACAGAGTTATATTATGTGGTACCCATTTCACAACAGTTTCAAGCTATTCATTTGCTAAGTAAATTATTGGAAAATAAAGAAATAATCTTAGATTATGTGTCATGCAGCCATCCAAATGTGAGTACCACATATGTCAAGGTAGGTATTTTTCACATTATAGACAGACATATAAGCTACTGCAAATGTAAACCATTACACCATCTTTCTAACAGTTTTTAAGAGTGGCATCTTTGAAAACAAATCCTGCCACCTTGAACGTGGCATGCACTTTCCTGCATGAACAGACTCGGAAAGAACACCATAATCTGAAAAGCTTTCCTGAAACTTTACTGTGCTGCTGCTATGATATACAAAACACAAATAAATGCTGGAAAGATTATTACTTATTTGGCATGTAGCAGGAACATTACAGAACCATAATTTTATTCTTCTGTTTGGTCTAGTTTTGAATAAGGACATACATTCAATATTTCATTAACTGTTTTAATGTTTGGGATCACCTCTACCTAGTGAATCACATTTAAAACTGTCAATAATAGGCTTGCCTGAAGACCAAAAATGTAGAAGCCCAAGCAGTTTTAAGCTTGAAACATCAAAATATGATCTTCATTAGAACATAACAACTGGTGAAACTACAAAGATTTTAACTTAAGGTTACATTGACATATATGCTAGCTTTCACACATCCAACCTCCCTCTCTCAGATACAGTACAAAATAGTTCTTTTCTACTTAGCCTACTCTTTAAATATTTCTTCCATTTCATGATACAATTTCTCTCTCCCCCCAAAAAAATTCTAGCCCACTCTTAAAATATGACCTCCCCCCCAGATACAATTTAATTCTCTTCTTTTTCTTCAGCTCTCACTTCTTTTCATACCTATTGCAGCCTTTTTTTGGATTGGCTCTCCTCCTTCTTTCTTCCAGCCAATCACCTTATTTATGTTATTGCTGAGTGAACTTCATGCGTTTCATCACAATGTTCCTGACTTTTATTGTAAAAACTTGCTACTTTATCCATACTGCACACCATGATCTGTATTGATGACTTTTCTAACATTTTATGTTTTTGCATCTCAGATTTCTTAGTATGGCAGTGGTACATTTACAACAGGAAAAGAAAGCAATGGACTGCTCCTTTATATTCAGTGATTGCAGACTCACTAATACACTCTTTGATCATATCTATACACTAGTCATTCCATGTCTCTCTCTCTCTCTTCTTTATCCTTCTATTACTCTATGGCAAAGGCAGGTGCTCAACATTATTGGATGTATTAACTGGACGTATTGATGTTTAATCTGTGTACCCTTATGCCCATCTGCCCTCTCGGGTATTCCAGCAGCAAGCAGCAGCAATCGTATACATTTCTATCTTCACTTGGCTACTGCATCAAGAATGAAAAAATAAGATAAGGAAGTCCAGTCACACAGTACCTAGTGTACAGCACTGGTTCTTAACCTTGGGTTACTCAGGAGTTTTGGACTGCAACTCCCAGAAGCCTTCACCACCAACTGTGCTGGCTGGGGTTTCTGGGAGTTGCAGTTCAAAAACATCTGAGTAACAAAGGTTAAGAACTACTGGTGTAGAGCATGGGGGTGTCCTTTGCAATGCTGATGTAAGTACCACTCTATAATTTAGCTCTAAGCTCATGCATGCATTCTCTTGTCACTCTGCCCTGAGGGAGAAATCTAGGAATTCAGCTACATGGCAATCACCCAACAGACATAGCACTTCTTTAAGTGTCACTCCTTTACATTCTTCTTTAAATTAAATGGGAGGAGCTGGGGGGGAAGGAGAGCAGGCAAGAGCAGGGACTGGAAAAAAACAGAGGAAGCCTGGTAGAAGAAAGATAGCAAGGTATTAGAAGTTCACACATCCGTTGCCTTTCTTTCTGCAAATGGTGCTCTTCAGAAGTGAACGTTAAACACACACACACACACACAGAGAGAGAGAGAGAGAGAGAGAGAGCATATCACTCTGGACAATGTGGAAGTACAGTATGTTTCATTATTCTTCGTACAGTTACTTGAAACTTCTGATTAATGTATTTTTTAAAACCTCCACCAGGTTTTTTTCCTCACCTTCCTAACGTCTTCTGGCCTCCTGCTCAATGATACTTTGCCAAGCATTCTCCATGCCTCTATGAAGCTGGGACTATCAACTCTGGTGCCCCACTGACTTGTAACATTGTTTGCTATCTCTGCTGCTCCTTCAGTTACTCAGTACTGATTGTGATTCTCTGCCCTTATTAAAGTAACTAAACATAGCTGAACTTAAAGTTCATGAATGATATGAGTTTCATTTATATATTATGATACACTGTATTAGTAAATTAAAAATACATCTTTTAAAGCTATAACAAGTGAGTTGTGGTGAGAATTTTTCTCTCATACCCAAATTGTACCATACAAATTACAAAAGGAAGTATAAAATAAATACTGTTGTTTTGTGCTGCCAAGTAACTTCTGATCTGAAGCAACTCTATGAATGAATGAATAAAAACATCAATTCCAGTCTGGGTTCAGGCTGCGTCAGGATATGGAGATGGAATTGGTCACCCTGCAAAATGACTTTCTGAGGGAGACTGACAGGGACAAAGTATCCTTATTGGTCCTCCTTGACCTGTAAGCAGCCTTCGATACTGTCAACCACGGTATCTTCCTGGGGAGGCTCTCTGGGTTGGGGATCAGTGGTCTGAATTTGTCCTGGTTCCAGTCCTTCCTACAGGACTACCCTCAGAGACTGCAGCTTGAGATGATGTCCAGATTGGGGAGAGGGCTCCCTCTCATTTAGGGGGGCTATTCTCTCTGCTAAGGATAAGGTTCACAGTTTGGGTGTTCTTTCTTCTCAACCCAGTGTTATCAATGGAATCTCAGGTAGTGTCTGTGGTCTCTGTTCTGCCTTCTTCCATCTTAGGCAGATTGCCCAACAATGTCCTTCCTTGACATCGGGTCACTCACCACACTTTTCTATGCACTGGTAGTCTCAACATTAGACTACTACAATGCTCTCTGTATGGAGCTGCCTATGAAGTTGTTATGGAAACTTCAGCAGGTCCAGAATATGGTGATCAGATTATTGGCTGCGGTGGAAAAATACCATCATATCTCCCAACTCTGGCTGCCTTGCCCTGGTTATCTGTTCGTTTCTGTGCCACTTCAAGGTGATGACTTATAAATCTCTAAACAGTTTGGACCTCGATACCTGGAAGAACGTCTGCTTCCAATGAGATCTACCCATTCTACATATTCTCCCAGGCAGGGTAGTTGATAATATTGACCCAGAGAGAGGCCCGGAAGGAGACGACCAGGAACCAGGCCATCTTGGCAGTTGCCCCTTGTCTTTGGAACGAGCTCCCACCTGAAATCTGCCTGGCCCCTTCACTGGGGAGCTTTAAACGATTTGAAAACACGCCTTTTAAGGTAAGCCTTCCTGGAGTATTCAGCATGTGGTAGTTTCAGCATTACATACTACCTGTTCCATCATCTTGTTTTTAAACTCCCCTATCACTTTTTAGATTTTACTTTGTTACTAGTATGATAGTTGATGTCTAATTTTATTTTTGATTGTTGTTATGTTCACTGTTTTTTATTATTGTTTACTGTATTTTTCATTGTAAACCACTCAGAGTGGCTGTGGCAGCCAGAAGGCCGGTGTAAAGGTCAAATAAATAAATAAATGATTATGTGATCGCTGAGCAGCCGACAAATATGAAAACTGGCCCCCAGACCTATGGAAGTTGCTGAGCACATATGTACATACATGCAAGAGAGAATGAATGGCTAAATGAAAAAATGAATGGTGCATAGCACATGTATTGAAGGGGATGAACAGTCAGGCTGTGTGGGAGGGAGTGAATAAGTTTGTGTGAAGACTGAATGTATGAGTAATAACAAATGAATAATGTACAAAATGAGAAAGCATGAGGAAAAAGAGGAGTGCCAGAGAGAGAATATAGCTCTAGATATATATAGGCATCCTTCAGTCTCAAGAGACTATGGTAACGTGCTCCGTATGGAGGACTTGGAACAGCGTCTAGTGTCACTGAAAAGGCCAATTTGAGAGTGAGAGCCCTTCCACACTGGTGACAAATACAGTCGGTCCTCTGTCCAGCTCCCTGGTTTTGCTGGTTTCGGGACTACCTCTTTGCCTCAGCCTGCTGGACAAGGATCGCTTCAAATTGGGAGAGGCCATGATGCAATGCCTGCCTCGAGGCTGAACGCTCAGATGTCAAGGTTTCCTATCTGTTGAGATCCATTCCTAAGCCTTTCAGATCCCGCTTGCAGATATCCTTGTAGCGCAGCTGTAGTTTCCCTCTGGGGTGATTTCCCTGCACTAATTCTCCATACAGGAGATCTTTTGGAATCCAAACATCAGCCATTCTCACAACATGCCCAAGCCAACATAGACTTTGCTGTTCCAGTAATGTATACATGCTAAAAATTCCAGCTTATTCTAGGACTACTCTATTTGGAACTCTGTCCTGCCAGGTGATACCAAAAATGCGTTTGAGACGTGTTCAGCTTCCTCTCCTGCCATGCACAAAGGATCCAGGACTCACTGCAGTACAGGAGTATGCCCAGGACACAGGCTCTACAGACATGGATCTTGGTATATGCCATCAGCTTTTTGTTAAGCCATACTCTATTTGTGAATCTAGAGAACATGGTAGCTGCTTTGCCAATGCGTTTATCCAGCTCGACATTTAGAGAGTGTCAGAGATTGTTGAGCCAAGGTACTGAAATCATTTTTAGCCCTTTCAGTTTTGACTTTGTCCACCAATAATAAGCCAACTCAAACCACTTTTTGGCCACAATCCCCAGGAAATTCTAGCCTTGACATTTACAAGGTTGTGCACACTCCTATTCTATAGCATTTCACTGCATTGATCTAGATCCTCATTGCCTCATCTCCAAGCCCAAGGATTTTTTGTCTGTGTCATTATTGAAAAAAGTATAGCTGGGACTGTTCCCTGATTGCACCTGAAGCACAACCTAGTTCTGCTGACGTTTTCAGGCCCACGTGCTACTTCTTCTGTGTATCAGGTTTCTTGTTATGTATCCATCAAATGTTCCCCCTACTCTGCCTCTACAGTGCTGGCTTGGTTCCTGCTGCTGATTGGCTCTGGGGGCGTGCTTGCTCTCTGACCTGAGACTAAGGAATGTTTTCCCAGCTGGCAACACTCTGCACACAGCAGGCTGGCTCTAAATGAGGGCACGGTGTTTCTTGCAGCCATTTAAATATGTTTCCAGGAACAGCAACAAACACACTTTCACGTACACAGCAGTAAACAAGGTGATCATTCTCTACTAAACAATGTTGTTTCTGTAAGTTTGGTCTTGAAGGAAAGCTGCCTTCAAAATGTCTTTCACTAGAAAGAAGGAAGCTCTACCATTTCAAGATGCATTATTTTGCATTCATGTGCTGATCTACAGCTTTACTGTAAGTATGCAGGCTGACCAGCAATCACATACAATTCTCTCTCTCTCTCTCTCTCTCTCTCTCTCTCTCTCTCTCTCACACACACACACACACACACACACACAGAGAGAGAGAGAGAGGGGGGGGGACAGAGAGGGACAGAGAGGGACAGAGAGACAGAGAGCTTCTTTCTCATGTACATTTAATTTGTCAACTGAAAACCAAGTTCTCCAATACTACTTACCCATGGAATACAAATTATCAAAACTCTGGTGCATCCTGATGATTTCATAGTATAGCTCATCATAGCTACTAGGAGTTGGAAGGAATGTATCTCCATAAGTGATGAACATATTAAACAGGTTTACCACCTTTAAAAACAAAAGACTATAACAATTACAACAGAAAAACTTATACAGAAGAGATAAGTATCATAAGCCCTAAAATTAATGAAACAGTCACTTTGTTTTTGTAGATGAAATTGTTTTTGTCGTTTGGTCGTGTCCGACTCTTCGTGACCCCATGGACCAGAGCAGGCCAGGCCCTCCTGTCTTCGTAGATGAAATAGTCTGACCATAAATACAGTCACTATTTTTTCTTTACCTAGAAAAAACAGTGCTTTGTGATGCTCAGATAGTATCAGTTGCTGTCAGCAATAGGTATGGGGTTTTAAAAGGAACATTTAAAGAGCCTGAACCATCCATGACAAGTGTGTCTGAAAATCCCTGCTATACAGGACCTTGAGGTGTCATTACAGAGAGGGGAAAGGAGAGGCAAATAATAAATTAGGAGAATGAGGTAGGCTGTTCAAGCCTCCAACAACTCATATTAAGTATCCTCATATTAAGAAATGGATTTGACAGATGAATGTTGTGAGGAAAGAGTGAAGAACCTTTGGCCCTCCAGATGTTTTGGACTACAAGTTCCATAATGCTTTCTCATTGGATATGATAGATCAGGGGTGAGGGAACTTTTTAACCTTTTACCCCCCCCCAAAAAAAATTTATGTACACCGACATTACCCCCTTGATTTGAAAGGAAGGAAATCATACATTATTTGAATTCAAAATCTTATTGAATCTATTCAAAATTACTTTGAAAGCTTCAACTTACTTGAAAACTTCAGGTTTTGGAGAAATGATGTTGCTTCATATTGGATATGAGAGCATCAATATTGGGGCTCTGCTCATCCTCATTACCCCCAGGATTTTCATTTTTACCCCATTTGGGGTAATTTACCCCTGTTCCCTGACCACTGTGATAGATGAACTTCAAACCACCTGGAAATCCAAAAGCTCACCACATCCCCATTGTAAAGTTTCAAAAACGTCCCTGTTTGTATGAGAATGTTTCAGTAGCAAAGAAAGAGAAAATATCATATTTCTCACTCTCCAGAATGCTCCTCTACTGTACGAATAACTAGCCAGTATTCAGATTCCAGTAGATAGCAGGGCTAGAAAGTTGAGCCTTCTAGCAACAGACAGAACTGCAGCACAATTTTCATTCCCAGTTCAGAGGCCTAAATAGCACTACAAAGTTCCTTCAGGCTAGCTGAGGCCCTGGAAAGATCTGTCCTCTTTAGATTTGGGGATACCAATGCAACATTTCTTTCTTTTTTCAGATTTCACTTGTTTACAGATCTGTAGTTCAACGAAGAACATAATACAAAGGAGCATTTGATCCTCGCCTATATGAAACAGCTTGCCCCAATATTTAAGAGCTACAAATAAATACCCAGATACAGCAAACTTTCTTAAATTCATCTCCATCTTACATCTGCATTGTTTGTGCCTAATCTGGCTACATAGAAAAACAGAGTTTCAATTGAGAAAATGATTCCCTATAGTACCTACAATATACTCTCTATCCATTTTTCCCAAGGCAAATACAGTTCCACCAACTCTATTCATTTTATTTTAAATTCAATGTTAATTATATATTGCAGACCACTTTAGGATTGTTTTGATGAAAAGCCTTATAAAAATGTCTGAATAAATATATGAAATAAATACATTTACTTTAAAAGAAATGATATCCCTGCCTTCTCTGAAAACAAAAATGGACACTTACCATAAGAGCCAAAGTGAAGATGTTGTGTTTTGCCAGCAAAGTAGTCTCATTGGACATGAGGAACTTCAATAGATTAATCAGAGCTGAGAAAGTAATGAAAAGAGGCTTTTTGAATACAGCTGCATTTTCATAAGCAGATACTTGCCCAAAGTATAAAAAAGAAGCACATGTCAATTAATTAGAATTCTGCTCCTCACAGATAAGCAGCCTTGAGAATTGAAGGCCTGCCCTCGTCAGATTTATCAAACCTGTTCAGTTTGAGGTAGAATCACCTGCCACTCAAGTCAAATGACACAGAAGGTGGTTTTTTTTTCTTACTTGTCAGCACCTTAGGTGGTATCCAGAGCCTGGGAAATCACCTGTCTCAGCTTCACATACTGTTATCGCAGGAGCCCCAAGAGTCAATCTGTCACTGCTGCTTATGATACACAAAGCAGAACCAGGTATGAGGCAGCTCTATAATAGCTTCACAATGGCACACATAACACTCAAACAGAAGTGGTACACTGTGTCATGTCACTTAGGCCAGGGTATGTCATATCACACTCCCTTTATAAGTGCTGCTTGGAAACAAAAGTACTTTATCCACTGGATTCGGCACCCCTCTTTTACAGTGACACTCTCTCACATCAATAGCAAACAGGACAGTAATTAAAAGAAAGTATAGATCACACATGCCTTATAAGGAATTCCTGCATTCTGAATACTGCCTAAAAAGTGTATGTATTTGACAGCATCATAATTATAACTTCTATTCTGTTTAAAGAATTTTGGGGGCATGCAAAACAAAATTTCTGCCTCTGATCTAAGAATGATTTTTCTGCTCTGAAGCAAGATGTAAATAAGGCAGTTCTAAAACCCAATTCCTAAGCAGAATTTTCAGTCAAGAAGCTACAAAAACAAGTTTCTGTCACAGGCTCTTGATAGTTCTCTAGCTTGATCGGCTTAATGTCAGCCTACAAGCTTAATTTTAGAGCTGCAGTTTGAGTTTTATTGGAACAGCAGTTCTAGTTATGGAAACACTGCTGTGTAAAAAAGCAACATACTCTACTATGCACTAGTTGGCAACCTTCATGTGATCAGGACACCAACCTGGGACAAGAGCAATCTGACAAGACCCAGAAGAACAGACCAATTACGTCAGCTCATCAACCATCTGGAGACCTTGATCAGGGTGAATGTTTAAAGTGAATTACACAAATGAAAGTTCTAATGGGTTACACAAGAGGGCAGCCCAATTTAATATTATGGCAAGTAGGGGGGAAAAATTAAGAACAGACAAGGTAATGGAGAGGACTTCTGCTCCTATTTGGAAGTGCATTGATCTATTTAGAACAGATTTCATCCACTGTTTAATGACAGCATAAGTGACATTAGAAAATTTTAAAAAAGGAAAAGGAAGGAAAAGAAAAGAAGAAAAAAGGAAAAAATAACCAGTCGTGACAGTAAGAGTTATTGGATCCCCTTCTCCTTCACAGATATCTAGCATAATGGACATTAATCAAAATTTTCTTTAAATATTATTACCAGATAGGAAATACTCTGCAACACATGACTTGCTTGTGAGTATTAGTACAAATGGACACCTCTCTGCAAACATTTTTAAAAGTCCTACATATCTTGTCCTATTTAGAGCACAGAATCCTCAACACTGCACACTCTCTCCTCAGGCAATTCACTCAGCTCTTTATGAGCTGTGTCCTTCTACCTTAAGTGCACAGCTTTATTTGATAGTGCTATGATGAGTTATGCTTTGAGGACTGCAGACAGGCCTTTAATGCCACACTGATTCAGCTCAGAAGGGACTACCCATATAGTGCTGAGAGGCATGAGCCTCCAGAGCAAAGCAACAGCATCAAATGGGTTCTTCACAGAGCAGAGATGCAGTCAGGCCATGTTTCCAAGGTAACTAAGCCTCCATGGCAAATGTCACTGTCCAAGGCAATCACTGCTCCGGACTAAGACAGCTGCCCTGAGTCTCTGTGATGGCAGAGGGACTTCTCACACTAACAGCAATAATGTGCTTTTACTCGTTGTCCAGGCTTTAAGAAATTCCTCAGCAGAATCATTGGCTCAAGTGTTTAGAATACTATATGACACTCTGTGGAAACTGTCACTTATCTTTGGCTTACCAACACTTGTCCGGGGGGGAGGGACTCCTCCTGACTTAGCTGCAGTTGTCATATCAAATTGTTTCAGTTTAGTGAGGATTCATTTTCACTGTCCAGTGAGTCTTTCACAAAAGCAGGTGTGTAGTTCCTGGTAACAGTTCTTAGAGTAGGATTTAAAATACCCATTCTTGCTGACTCGAATTAAAGACCTATGCAGTATTTCTCACATAGCAGCTAACTAGATCCCCTTGCTAGTGCAAAGGTAGGAAAAAGTGGGGCACTCCAGATGCTGCTAGCCTACAGCATCCCTTACCACTTGCTACACTGGTGAGGGCTGATGGGAGTTTTAGTCCAACAAAATCTGTAGAGACACAGTTTACAAATCCCTGCCCTGTGCTTTTACCCCAGCAACATGCACCAAGTGGGAGAAATAAAGCCTCTCTCCACTTTTTAAAAGTCTGCCTTTTGTTCTATCTACCCAGAATCTGCAATAAATAATGTTAACGTGCTTCAACACAGAACAAAAAATTCACCAACTACAGTGGTGCCTCGCTAGACAGTTATCCCGCATGATAGTTTTTTTGCTAGACATTGACTTTTTGTGACCGCTATAGCGATTTGCAAAACAGTGATTGCTATGGTGGAATTTCACTGGTCCCTGTTTCACAAACCAATTTTCGCTAGACAACGATTTTGACAGCTCCGTCCGTGCTTGCAAAACGGGTGTTTTCAGGACCTAAGCTTCGCAAGACAGTTATTTAAACTGCTAATCAGTGGTTCGCAAAGCGGCTTTCCTATGGCCGATCTTCACTAGACAACGATGATTCTTCCCCATTGGAACGCATTAAAGAGGTTTCAATGCATTCCAATGAGGAAATGCTTTTTGCTAGACAGTGATTTCGCTAAACAGCAATTTCACTGGAATGGATTATCATCGTCTAGCGAGGCACCACTGTAGTTGCAAGAGCTGGTTGCTTGTACTATTTTTGCTTGTACTATTCATGTGAAGCCTGTATTTTGGGCTTAAGTTGAAGAACAGATAGAGCTTTTCACAACAAGAAAAGAGCCATTACTCAATTTATACATGTCAAGTCTTTTAAAATATATGTCCGTTTCAACCTTCCAGCCAACAGGCACTGAGAAAATACCACAAAACAGATGGCCGGGAAGCAATAAATACAAATGATTAATATAGAATGTTGCCAAACATTAACACAAAAGAGTAAAAATTCACTAGTTTTTCTGGGCTGCCTGAAATACATGACATGATGCTGCAAAAATATTCACCTGTCATATTCCAAAAAAAAAAAAAATAATCAAGTCTTATTTTGGTTCCCAGAAACGTAACTCCAACAGCTGACCACTCGGCAGCCAAAGAACAAAAGGAGACAGCATTTGAGGCTAACACTACTATACTTTAATCAACCTTTGTTCTGTATTTTAATCATGTTCGAGGGACTCTTCCACGAGATGCTATGCTGGCACTTGAACTTCTACCACTTGTACCCCTTAAACTCTTTTAAGACAAAGCAAACTACAGAACTCAACACAGAAGTTACAACAGGAGGCTGTGCTTGCAACTGACAGTTTGGACATCGTGTTTACCAGCCCTGATTTTAGTACTCACTTAATTTTTTCTCCCTGATATAAATACAACCAAAGAATAAAGTGTCAGACAACCTGTTTTAAGCTCTTTTCAAGATACTTTTTTCAAAACTGGAATTGCTAAAAATGGTATGGCTCCTCAGCTTGAACTACCTTCAAATAGACACTTCTTGTGCTTAGGCAGAGCATGCACATAAGCATGAACTAGTTGTCAGGTGATTAAAACTCAGAACAGAAACACTATGGTTCTTTTCCTTTTTTCCATTCCCTGGGAAAAGCAATAGTGTTCCCTGGCCAACAACTCTTCCCATTTTGCAGCTCCAGGACTCACCCTCAAACTGAAATGAATTCAACACCACCATCCCTGTTAAAACAAAACCACTGATCTGCTTACATAAAAGCCTCAATGAAAAAAAAGGCTCTGGTCAATTAAAATAAAACAGAATTGATGACAGTATGTTCACCAAGGAACTTACCACTTTTTTTTCTCCCCTAACCACATTAAAACTTCAGAATTTATGTAAGTTTATAAAACACTGGCCAGGTTGAAGGACATTCAGCAACCTTTCTGCAGTTCCATGAAATATGCTAAAAAGTGTAACAGTTGTACTGAGCCTTAGGCATAACATATGCAAACAATTCAAGTACAGTATTGCATGTTGTGCCCAGTTCCAGTAACAACCTTTTCAACTCCTTCATGGCACCCAAGAAAGAATGATGTTTTGTCTCCTTATTGCAAAATCAGAAGCAGTTCTACCTCCTGAGTTCTTATTCTTACAGATGCCCCATTTCTTGAGACAAGAAAAGAGGAAGAAAAGATCAGAAAACTGGTTCTTAAGTGGAATTCTACCAAATCTGTGACTGAAAATGGAAGATCATGTTGTTCCTTATTCAAGGAAGTGCTTATAATTTAAATCAAAGAAGCCTCCCCAGATTTCTTCCATTTCCTATTTAGTGGTACAGTTTCAGCTATGAAAAAAACAAAGAAAAGAAAGGAGGACCTTCACAGCTGATGTTGTACACACTTCTTTTTAAGGTAAATAGTAACAAACAAGTAAATGATCCATAAATTGGAAACACCTGGCTACAAGTGAAGGGGCCAGTGATAGGTCAGGAACATGGGCAACTGTATGTTAATGAAGACCGAAGCCCCTGACCTTAAGATGAGTTCCTAGAACCGGTAGCTTTTGCACTGAGCTGTGGTCACCTCATGGGCTTGTAACCTGCAGCTGAATCCCTGCTGAAAAAAGCATCATATGAGTGCTGGTGAGCATACCTTCTGAAACAGCTGTGCATACAGATGCAAAAGGCAACAGAAGTTTTGAACCTTATGGTTCCCCTCTCAACCAAAGTTAAAACAAGAGTCT